CCAATAGACTAAAAGGGAGTAGCACAGCTAAGGAAAAGGGGAAAAAATGGCGGACTGCGTTGTTTGGCGACCCCCGTGAAATGGTCGTTCGACCCCAAATGGGGTCCGGACCCACAGGTTGAGAATCACTGATCTAGTCCAATCCCCTGCTCAAGCAGGAGACCCTGTACAATTCTGGAGAATTGGCTGTCCAATCTCTTCTTAAAACCCTCCAGTGATGGAGCACCCACAACTTCTGAAAGCAAGCCCTTCCACTGATCAATTGTTCTCACTCTCAGGAAATTATTCTCATTCTCAGGAAGTTCTAGGTTGGTTCTCTCCTTGATTGCTAAATATATAATTTAGCAAACCAAGTTATGGTTTGTAAAACCTGTCATTGTTATAAACCATGTTTTACGACTTGAGTATGTTATAGGACTCCTACTAATTGTTGCGCAACGGTCCATTTTAATTACCATTTAGTTCAATATATGCACGACTAGGTTATATCCGGTTTCATGAATTTCATATATTTGTTTTTGGGATTTATCTTTTGCCTCAGTCTTGGCTGTTCAAAGTAAGCAATAATGTGGTTTTTTTGGTTTCATGTAATGACTCTTGAGCCTAGCCCTTGTGGATGGGATGGATAACTCCAGCCAATTGTGCTTATTCAATAAACCACATAGCCGCTAGCTCAAAATTACCCATAAAGAGTGCTTCCTGGTTGGACTTGGCCATGGCTCTTCCTAATCATTGTGAAGCAACTCAACCACAACTTCACAATCGGATCGAAGGAAGCTTGCACATAAGGCATGAAGGCAATGCCTTCCCTACCCCTTCTCGCCAGCATAGGCTTAAGAGAAAGCTCTTAAGCCCTGTGATAAAGGCAATGTTGTTGGTTCACATTGCCAACATTTTTTACATTTCAGAAGATCCATTTCTGGAGATTAGTTACAAACTGGACAAAGGTTTATTTTTGCCTTGTCTAACACAATAACAGAGTTGGAAGGGGTTTTGGAGGTGGTCTAGTCCAACCCCCTGCTCCAGCAGGAGACCCTATACCATTTCAAACAAATGGTTGTCCAATCTCTTCTTGAAAACCTTCAGTGTTGGAGCAACCCCAATTTCTGGAGGCAAGCCGTTCCAGTGATTAATTGTTCTTGCTGTCAGGAAATTTCTCCTTAAGTTCTCCTTGCCTCCAGAAGTTGTGCATACTCCAACACTGGAAGTTTTTAAGAACACACTAGACAACCATTTGTCTGAAACGGTATAGGGTTTCCTGCCTGAGCAGGAGGTTGGACTAGAAGACCTCCAAGATCCCTTTCAACTCTGTTATTATCTCTGGACCAACTTGAAGGATCAACAATGAATTAATAAAGCAGTCATCATCTCTCAGACAGCAACCGTTGTAGATAACAATCAGTAGCCATTTCATACATTCTCAGTTAGCTGTAATGGGAGATAATTCAGAATATAATTACCATATTTTCCGGCGTATAAGATGACTAAAGCATGCAAATCGGCTCTGAAGTTGGGGGTCTTATACACCAAGTCATCTTATACGCCGGAAATTATGGTAGTTTCTGGCGTATAAGATGACTTTCTAAGCATGCAAATCAGCTCTGAAGTCAGGGGTTGTCTTATACGCCGAGTCGTCTAATACGCCAGAAAATACGGTAATAACCAAAAAGAGGACGATACCAGAAATCCAGGTAGTCCAATGGGACCAGCAGGGTCGACCTGGAAAACTTTTAAGCCCGTTAAGAACAACAAAGGCAAGAAAGCAACTTTAGTGGTCATTATATATTCTGCTTAAATTTTCTCCCTAATGAGAAGACTCTCTTCGCGTGTTGCTTTCTGCCAGAGGGGCAACCCAAACTGCAGGATTGCTCTTAACAAAATGTGCAGTTCAGCTCAGATTTCTCTTGACCTCTTCCTTCCTCATTCCGTATTATGCCCAACGCTTCTACTTTCCTCATGTACAAGGCAAAATATACATCAGGAAGAAAAAAAAAACTTGCTTGACTGGTTAAAATAAATACCTTGAGCTCAAGCAGCTTTGTTCTCTCTTTTTGCGGTATGAATGTTAAAGGAAACACTAACACAAAAGAAAGCACATATTTGAAAGTTTTGCTAGCGGCCTCCGATTGCCAAATAAAGCCGAACGTTTCACTGTTTTTTTTAATTCGTGAACGTTCAGGCTGAGATATGAGAAGTCTCAAACTATCTCTGAAAATGTTAATACAGTATAGGTCAGTGATGGCGAACCTTTTAGAGACTGAGTGCCCAAACTGCAACCCAAAACCCACTTATGCCTAGTCGAGTGCCGGATGGATGTGGCCCATTGGGTAGGTGTGGCCAATTGGGTGGGCATGGCTGCAGTGGTCACGGCAGACTGGGTGGGACTAAAAAGTTCAATCAATCAATTCCAACTTTGCAAGATCTTTTTTTTTCCCTGCGAGAAGTTGAAATTGATTGAAGCTTTTTTTAGGCGGTGGAGGCCTAAAGCGAAAAGGTTTTATAAAACCCAGCTGAAGGCCTAGGACTGGGGCGACGGCACGCGTGCCCACAGAGAGGGCTCTGAGTACCCCCTCTGGCACCCGTGCCATAGGTTCGCCACCACTGGTATAGCTGGTCCTTGTCTTATGACCGCAAATGAGGCCGGCATTTCTAAGCAAGTGAGCCATGCCCCATTTCAGGATCTTTTTGCCACAGTTGTTAAGTGAATCACTGCAGTTCTTGAGTGAATTGTGTAGTTGTGACTCCTACTCCAATATTTCCTTGCTTTGTCACAGGCCCACTGTTTAAGTGATAAAAGGTGCCTTCTTTCCTTTTGCATTTCCAATGTTCATTTGAAGTACCTTTATGCATTCTTGACATCATCTTACAGAAGTTTTCTTTTAAGTTATAATTTAGGGTAATTTTTGAAACTTTTCATCCACGTGTCCGCCCACTGTTCAAGCATTACATTACATCCAAAGCTCCTTGCCCACTGAAGCACGCACTGCTTTACATATTCATTCTCTAAATTCAAATTCGATAACCCTTTATAGACTTTGGCAATGATATGCTCATCATGACCGCACAGTAGGATTTCCATCTCATTTTTCACCCAAAATCTGACCCGTAACTCTTTTTTCTCTGATTTTAAATCTTTCTTTCAATTGTAAATATGTAAACCGGACGCAACCTTCTGATTCCAACTCTTTAGACTTAAAGATGGAAACTGACCAAGGAGAGAAGCAACCTAGAACCAAGGAGAAACTTCCTGACAGTGAGAACAATGAATCAGGGGAACAACCTGCCTCCAGAAGCGGTGAATGCGCCAACACTGGAAGTTTTTAAAAAGAGACTGTTTTTAAGGGAGCCGCACCTAATTTTACCTTCTTTCTTTTTTTGCCATGGTGGTTAAGCAAAACACTGCAGCCGTTAAAATGAATCAGGCGGTGGTTTAGTGAATCTGCCTTCCTTCATTAACGTTGTTTGTTGGAAGCCAGCTGAGAAGGTTGCAGATGGCGAGCACTAGACCCTGAGATGCTACAACCATCGTAAATACATGCCAGTTGCCAAGCGCCCGAGTTCTGATCATGTGACTGTGGGATGCTGGGAGGGTTGTAAGCATGAGGGGAGGGGAGGGAAGAAGGAGAGAGAGAGGGAGGAGGAGAGGAGAGGAGGAAGGAAGGAGAGAGAGAGGGGAGAGGAGAGGAAAGGAGAGGGAGGAGAGGAGAAGAGAGGGAGAGGGCGAGGGAAAGGGAGGGAGGAGGAGAAGAGGAAAGGGAGAGGGGAGAGGAGGAGGAAAAAGGGAGAAGAGAGAATAGGAGAGGAGGAAAGAAGGAGGGAGAGGGGAGAAGAAAGGGAGGAGAGGAGAAGAGAGGGAGAAGGCGAGGGAAAGAAAGGGAGGGAGGAGAGGAGGAAAGGGAGAGGGGAGAGGAGGAAAAAGGGAGAAGAGAGAATAGGAGAGGAGGAAAGAAGGAGAGGGAGAGGGGAGAAGAAAGGGAGGAGAGGAGAAGAGAGGGAGAAGGCGAGGGAAAGAAAGGGAGGGAGGAGAGGAGGAAAGGGAGAGGGGAGAGGAGGAAAAAGGGAGAAGAGAGAATAGGAGAGGAGGAAAGAAGGAGAGGGAGAGGGGAGAAGAAAGGAGAGGAGAGGAGAAGAGAGGGAGAAGGCGAGGGAAAGAAAGGGAGGGAGGAGAGGAGGAAAGGGAGAGGGGAGAGGAGGAAAAAGGGAGAAGAGAGAATAGGAGAGGAGGAAAGAAGGAGAGGGAGAGGGGAGAAGAAAGGAAGGGAGGAGAGGAGAAGAGAGGGAGAAGGCGAGGGAAAGAAAGGGAGGGAGGAGAGGAGGAAAGGGAGAGGGGAGAGGAGGAAAAAGGGAGAAGAGAGAATAGGAGAGGAGGAAAGAAGGAGAGGGAGAGGGGAGAAGAAAGGGAGGAGAGGAGAAGAGAGGGAGAAGGCGAGGGAAAGAAAGGGAGGGAGGAGAGGAGGAAAGGGAGAGGGGAGAGGAGGAAAAAGGGAGAAGAGAGAATAGGAGAGGAGGAAAGAAGGAGAGGGAGAGGGGAGAAGAAAGGAGAGGGGGGAGAGGAGAAGAGAGGGAGAAGGCGAGGGAAAGAAAGGGAGGGAGGAGAGGAGGAAAGGGAGAGGGGAGAGGAGGAAAAAGGGAGAAGAGAGAATAGGAGAGGAGGAAAGAAGGAGAGGGAGAGGGGAGAAGAAAGGAGAGGGAGGAGAGGAGAAGAGAGGGAGAAGGCGAGGGAAAGAGGGAGGGAGGAGAGGAGAAAAGGGAGAGGGGAGAGGAGGAGGAAAAAGGGAGGAGAGAGAGGAGGAAAGAAGGAGAGGGAGGAGGAGGAGAGGAGGGAAGAGGGAGAGGGAGGAGAGGAGGAAAAATGAGAGGGAGGAGGAAAGAAGAATTGGAAGAGGGAGGAGAGGAGGAAAGAGGGAGAGGGAGGAGGAGAGGAGACAAGAGGAACAGAGAAAAGGAGAGGGAGGAGGAGAGGAGAGGAATTTAGCAAACTAGCTATTCCCCCATAAATATCGAAGAATTCATATTTCTGTTTATTTGATTACGGGAACACTAAACTGGAAGTAAATAGTTTAATGCTAAATGTTTCAGTCAGGTTCATTGCAAGAATTCTTAGCATTAGTGACACTCAACAAAGGAACAAAATCTCAAGTACTGATCCAGGAATATCTGCCGGGGGTCAAAAATAAAAAAGAAAAGAAAAATCAAGAGGGAGGTACAATGCACATTAAAAAAGGGACAAGACTTTCTACACACAATCATAGCCCTCGTTGTGATTTTTTTTTTTTTTTGACCAAATACTTCCCTGCAGAAATCCAGTAGGATTTTGCCGACTGGAATTCAGAAACTGCTTCCCTGCAGCACAGACACAGCCTTTTGGTGGTCTCCAAGCATGACGGAGTTACAAAAATAGCTCAACAGTTTCCCTTCGTTTCTCTTGAAAGGGACAACGTGGAAGCCTCTGAATGCAGCTTATGTTCAACTTAAGGCCATTTTGCCCACGTGAGGAGACAATAGCAATAGCAATAGCACTTAGACTTATATACCGCTTCACAGCCCTCTCTAAGCAGTTTACAGAGTCAGCAATTTGCCCCCAACAGTCTGGGTCCTCATTTTGCCGACCTCAGAAGGATGGAAGGCTGAGTCAATCTTGAGCCAGTCAGGATCGAACCCCAGACTGTGGGCAGAGTCAGCCTGCAATACTGCATTCTAACCACTGCGCCGCCAGGGCTCTTACAAACAAACGGATGGATCTTACTCTCCAAAGACGAGTTCCACTGGCAAAAAGAAGTAGCACTGTATTTACACTCTTGGATTTAGTCAAGAAAATGGCAAACATTTTATATATATATAAAAAAACCCTAAGCCTTTCCCGCCCACCCAAGTTACTTTCCCTAACTTCTCATATTTAGCCCTTATTTTCCTAGCATCGATCAGTACCAGCTGCTATAATAGATGTAGCTTCTGTTAAGTAGCCAGGATGTAGGGAAAAAAAAAAAACAGTCACAAGTAACTACAGTGTTTAATATTGACACTGCAAGGCTTTTGTTCCCGTTTGTGTCCAAAAAAGCCAAGTTTGGGTCTTAAAATGGGTACCATTCAGATCCTAACTGGCAGAAGCAGTGAAGGGAATGACTAAGGGGATGCCATTCCAATCCGCCGCATCCCAGTCTTTTTACAGCTGACCCACTTCTTCCGTTACTCCATCCTCACGGCACGAGGAAAGCAGCCGTCAATACTTTTGCTCTGCAACAATTCCAGGCTCTGCTCCATCGTTCAAATGACCTGATTTCGGTGTGCAAAAAAAAAACAAAAAAAAAACAAAGAAAAACACAACCTAGGGACCAATCCGTGCCTTCTCCTCTTCACACTTTGGATTGCCTCTCATCTGTCCATTCCTGTTTCGTGTTTTGCAGAGCTTGAGTTCTTTGCTCGTCTACCTGAACGTAGTCCACTCGTTGTTCTTCCGACAGGAAAGGTTTCTGCAAAATGAAGGCAATAAAACGTAAATATAAAGGTCTAGGGCAGTGGTGGCGAACCTGTGGTACAGGTGCCAGAGGCGGCACTCAGAGCCCTCTCTGTGGGCACGTGCACCACGCCTCAGTCCTAGGCCTTCAGCTGGGTTTTATAAAACCTTTTCGCTTTAGGCCTCCGCCACCATGTGCAAAAAAAAAAAAGGTTCAATTAATCAGTCAATTTCAACTTCTTGCGGGGGAAAAAAAAGATCTTGCAAAGTTGGAATTGACTGATTGAACTTTTTAGTCCCACCCAGTCTGCCGTTACCACCACAGCCACGCCTACCCAATGTGCCATACCCACCCAATGGGCCACGCCCACCCAGCACTCGACGATGCGTAAGTGGGTTTTGGGTTGCAGTTTGGGCACTCAGTCTCTAAAAGGTTCGCCATCACTGTTCTAGGGAAATGTTAGGGTTACATCCCTTATCCCCTTATTAGGCAGGAAAGCCTAGTTTCAGATATGAAGGTCCAATTAAACTGATTTATCACTACTCATGCCTGTGCATAGGAATCTTCTCAACTAACAGTTAGCACCTGCTTGGCGTTAGATACGGGTCAAAGGAATTCAAGGGAGGTTGGATTTCACTTGTGGCTACACAGGGATTCTAGGCTGATCCCTCTTTTAATTCCACCCCCAAGTTCTGCCACTCATTCTCCTACATCTCTCCTCTTTCATATCCTTAGTGGCTTTCCCCCCCTATCTTGAAGATGGGGAAGACATCAATTGGAAAGAGGAACATTTCAACTTGTCCCAATTTGTCACCTTGTCCCTCAAGGAAACAAATCAAGGGAATCCATGAACTGGAGAGCATGAAAAACATTTGGTTTTAGAAAAAAAAAATGTTATCCCCCATGTATGTGCTTTGATGGGTCAAGGTCAGAATGAATTTCAACTCCAGAGAGTTTCATCTGGGTACAAAAACCAAATACAATGATAGCCACTTCCCCCTGTGAAAATTGCTCCTGCTTTCTATAATTTTTCCATTTTTTTCATGCACAACTTTATTTGTTTATCACATCCCAATCCATTTAAAATTATTTCTGCTTAGAAGTCTGCATTTACATTTTCATATCCTGTATGCATATACACACACAACACCCTCCCCAAACTGTGCATATTTTGTATGCAATCTGTCCCAACATGGATTTGGGAAGCACTTTAACCCAATATGTATTTTCTTTATTTCACAAAATATATTTAGGAGAATTCTACTGCAACTTTCAGAGAGAACTGGGTTTCAATTCTAGACCTGCTTCACAACCATGAATGAGAATTAGATGAGGACCAAACAAAGGTTTTCCCTATTCCCTCCTGATGTCCTACCTTCTGTACAGGAGATGGAGAAGCAGAATTAAAATCCAGTGCTAAGTAGTCAAGGCTAAACTTCTTTGGCGATTGGAAATCTCCGTTATATGGAGATGTTGCTTGCTGGTGCTCCTAAAAAGGACAACAATGGTAACGGCGTCAAAAACTTAAATGCATTTAAAAGAAACAAAGATCATATAATGGATTTATACAAACAGCAGTAACGCGTAAGAGCAGATAAACAGGATGTCCTCTGTTGTCACAGTCCAATCAGTTCTTCAGGACTACATTACTTGAAGCAGGGGTCTTCAAACCTGGCCCTTTTACGACTTGTGGATTTCAACTCCCAGAATTCCTCAGCCAGCGTGCCTGGCTGAGGAATTCTGGACGTTGAAGTCCACAAGTCGTAAAAGGCCAGGTTTGAAGACCCCTGACTTGAAGGAACGTCTTCTCTGTATCTGCCTAGGTAGGCCTAAAATCCTTTAAAGCAGTGGTTCTCAACCTTTTTAATGCCGCGACCCCCAACCGGTCGTAAGTCAAGGACTACTCAACTGGTGCAGCACCGTTTGCAGAATGGGACTTTTGGCGGGCTCAGCAGGGCAGAGACAGCCTGGACAATTCCTATTGGCTTTTGAAAGCCAATAGAATTAGACTCTATTCAAGAGAGTCTATTCTATTGGCTTTCAAAAGCCAATAGAATAAAAGGGAGTAGCACAGCTAAGGAAAAGGGGGAAAAAATGGCGGACGGCGTTGTTTGGCGACCCCCGTGAAATGGTCGTTTGACCCCAAATGGGGTCCTGACCCATAGGTTGAGAACCACTGCTTTAAAGAGCCCTCCTTCTATTGAGGTGGGTCTTGGCAAGGGAAGGGGGCATCCCCTTTAAGGAATGTCCTCTCCAGACTCACCTCTGCATCATTTTGGCCCCAGGTGAAGACCTTCCCATTTTTTCAGGCACTTCAATTTCAATCTTTAATTGTATTTTAATTTGTATTGTTTTGGCTGCCAAATGACCACCTTGCTACTGACTACCTGCGATGGGGTCCTTCTTTTGCAGTTCACTTGACGCCTATTTTTAGTGAGTTTTATTCTAAACTGCCCAGAGAACTTCAGATGAGACCCTTGTTTCAGCCCCCCCCCCCGTGTTTCTCTGACAACTAAGCCCAAAATTTCTGTTGTTAAGTGAGCTTTGTCCCATTTTACAACCTTCCTTATCCACAGTTGTTAAATCACGGCAGCTGATAAATTACTCACTCAGTTAAGTGAGTCTGGCTACCCCGGTTGATTTTTATTTATTTATTTATTTATTTATTTATGAGACTTATATACCGCTTTAAGTGCAAGCACTCTCTAAGCGGTGTACACCAGTAAGCAATGTATATATATATTTACATTGCCCCCAACAATCTGGGTCCTCATTTTACCTACCCCGGAAGGATGGAAGGCTGAGTCAACCTTGAGCCGGTGAGATTTGAACCGCTGACCTGCTGAACACAGTCAGCTAAAGTGGCCTGCAGTACTGCACTCTAACTGCTGAGCTCACAAACAAGTGATCACGTGACTCTGGGACACTGCAATGGTCACACATAGGAACCAGTAAGGATCTAAATTTTGATCACAGGGTTGTGGGGATGGCTGCAAAGGTTGTGACTTTGAAAAACGGTGACAAGTCGCTTTTTCCAGTGCTGTTGTACCTTTGAACAGTCACTAAATGAACTGTTGTAAGTTGAGGGCTCTCATACTATGACAGAAACTGGGTTCTGTCAGGTGCAAGAAATTGGGAACCTGGGCTGTTCAAGTGAGTGCTGGTTTAATCCATGCTAGCTCTTTACAAGAAGATGGACAATCGAGGCAAACTGGGACCAGATAAGAGTCCTCAGAATTCAAGGCAGGCTGGACTCAGATCTCTAGTGGGCACGAAGGGATTCAAGACTGATGACGCCCTTTACCCCACCCGCGGGCTCAGTCTGGTCATCGCCTACCAGTTTGTTTAGTGACCATTCGAAGTTATAAAGGCACTGAAAAAAAGTGACTTATGACCATTTTCACACTTACAACCTTTGCAACATCCCCATGGTGATGTGATCAAAATTCAGATGCTTGGCAACTGACTCCCATTTGTGATGGTTGCAGCATCCCGGGGGAATCACACCATCACTATTTGTGACCTCCTGACAGAGTCAAATGGGGGAGTCGGTTCACTTAAGAACCATGTGACTAGCTTAACAGCTGCAGGGATTCAGTCGTACAATTATGGCAAGAAGAGTCATACAATGGGTCAAAAGTCATTGAACGACCGTTTTGCTTAGCAATTGAAATGTTGGGCTCAGTTGTGGTCGTTAAGTTGAGGACTCCCTGTACAAAAGTGTTGCCTCGATGTGTTGCCCCTTGGAGAGATAGGTGGCAGATAAAAAAATAAAAATACAACCAAATAAAATACAATCAAATAAAATACAATAGTCAAATACAATACAATCAAATGCAATATAATACAACACAACACAACACAATAAAATAAATATGCTTCACTTCATTTTGTGCCGGAAGGCCCCTTATCACAAGGGTCCCCAACCCTTCGACCACGGCCCACTAACAGACCATGGCCTGTTTGAAACCAGGCTGCCCAAGAAATGGGCAAGCATGCACGTGCGAAGCTCCACTCGTGGGAGCGATGGGCCCTTGCGCTCATGCACGAAGCTCCGTTCGTGCAAGTGGAGGGTGCGAGCGCTCGCTGCTCACATTAACGGAGCTGTTGTGCTCACGCGTGTGCCTACCATGCACACGCCCCTGGGCCAGGCCATCAAGGCACGAAGGTTGGGGATCCCTGCCTTATCAGAAGCCTATCTCCATAATATTGTCTAGGCTGATTTTCTACGCAGCAATCCTCTTAGCTTCCCCATTGAATTTGAAGGGATAGACCTGATATGAAAAAAAGTGCAGGATCTCTCTTTCCACCCCAGAGATGCCCGGGTGCATCTCTGCCTGATCTTTGTGGTTATTTGGAGCAGGGCCACCTACGCCTATGTGCACAACAGAGGTCTGTAAAACAGGAAAAAAGCTTCCCTTATCGCTGTGTCAATTAAGCCTTGTGTTTTTCCAGGGAATTTCTTCAGGAGGGCAAAGGGGCACCCTCTCCACACATCCCCACTTAGAAACAAAAAGTGGTCCTCCTCTGAGCGGGTTCCGTTCGTGCCATTTGTCAAAAGGCGAGCAGGGAAGAGCTGTATGAAAATAATTACCATTTCAATGTAACTTCCTTCCTCTTCTCCGGAAACCGAGGCAGCAAATACCCTGGCTGAATTAATGCAGTCTCTTTCTGGAGAATTAAAGCTTGTTCGATTGCTAGCAGGGGAAAAAAAGAGACACCACCGAAAAGCAAACAAAGAAAAGACAAGAGGTCAAGGATGAGTTTCTCCAGATGCTCTGAAATCTCGCCAAATCCTGACGCTGTCTGGGCAGGGAATAAACCATCCAGAGCCCAGCAATTTGCATGAGCTACAAAAAGGGAACCATCTCATTCAGCTCATCCCTATATATTATTCGTCCCTGCTGTTGAATTTGACAATACATAAAAATTACCCAGCCACAGCGGTATAGGAAACTATGACACAAGCATAGACCTGTCCACTGATGTCCTAGGGATAGTAAACATCTCGTCCACGGGCATCTGCAAATGATGCTTCACTTTGCCTTCTGCAGCTAGTAGTATTTTTTGGGTGGAGATAATTTAATCAAGAATGAAGGCGAATATCCGTGTCCCAGGATAATGTTGCAGGATCCAATCTGGGTCGGTCACAATTGTGAGGTTCCCTGAAGATGGGCCCCAACACAAGTCCAAAAGCTCGGAAGACCAAACGTTCTGGACTTGGTGACCGACCCAGATTGGATCCTGCAACATTTAATCAGGTACAAGTAGTCCTCAACTTATAACAGTTCATTTCGTGACCACTCGAACTTAACAACGGCACCGAAAAAGTGACTTATGCTTGTTTTTCAGACATACAACCGTCACAATATTTGGATGCTTGGCAAACTGGCTCCTATTTATGACGGCTGCAGCGTCCCGAGATCACGTGATCCCCTTTTGTGACTTTCTGACATGCCAAGTCAATGGGGAAGCCAGATTCACTTAGCAATTGTGTTACTAACTGAACAGCTGCGGCGATTCATTGAACTGTGGACAGGAAGGTCATAAAATGGGCACTTAACAACATAAATTTTGGACTCAGTTGTGGTCATAAGTTGAGGATTACCTGTATCAAAACCATAACTCTATTCTGAACACCATACGAATATATATATAAAAATACATTTGCCCTTGGAGACTGTCTGTTTTTCATCCTTTTTTCTTTCCTTCCTAAATCACAGCCAAATCCATTTACCGGGTGCAACCTTTTTTTACTCCCTCTCCATAAATTGAGACATTTACTCCAGGGGAAGCTAGTCTTCTTCTAATACTTGGTTGCTTCGGGTTTTGTTTGTTTTTTGCAATGTCTGAATGAGAAAGTATCCATAATTTCATGTTCTACATTGCTGCTTCAAAGCTGGAGCAGATCAGTGCCCCACCTGAGGTCCAGAGACTATAGGCAGAATGACTCAGCAGGTAATGTAACTCACAATTACTCCAAAATTGTTTTTATATCCTTTTAATTAAGAAAATCCAAGATCACTGCAGATGGGGACTGTAGCCAAGAAATTAAAAGACGCTTGCTCCTGGGGAGGAAAGCTATGGCAAACCTAGACAGCATACTGAAAAGCAGAGACGTCACCCTGCCAACAAAAGTGCGTATAGTCCAGGCCATGGTTTTCCCAGTTGCAATGTATGGCTGTGAAAGTTGGACCATAAGAAAGGCTGAGCGCCAAAGAATGGAGTCCTTTGAACTATGGTGCTGGAGAAGACTCCTGCGAGTCCCCTGGACTGCAAGGCGATCCAACCGGTCAGTCCTAGAGGAGATCAACCCTGACTGCTCTTTAGAAGGCCAGATCCTGAAGTTGAAACTCAAATACTTTGGCCACCTAATGAGAAGGAAGGACTCACTGGAGAAGAGCCTGATGCTGGGAAAGATGGAGGGCAATAGAAGAAAGGGACGACAGAGAATGAGGGGGCTGGATGGAGTCACTGAAGCAGGAGGTGTGAGCTTCAATGGACTCCAGAAGATGGTAGAGGACAGGAAGACCTGGAGGAACGTTGTCCATGGGGTCGCAATGGGTCGGACAGGACTTCACAATTAACAACAACAAAATTAAGAAAAGGAAATTGTACAGAATTAAAAATACTAAAATGTAAAGTTTTTCCTCCCCAAAAGGTAATAAAAAGATAAAATGAAAAGTGAGAAACAGTAAAAGTCAAGAAAAGAGAAAGGGAGGTACCTAAACAAGTGATTTTGAATCTTTGCAGCAGTTACAAACGTGACTATTTCCATTTCTGCCTTCCAAAATGTCAACTGGGGCTTTTCCCTTCTTCCCACAAATCACCCCTTTTAATCCATAAATCCCAAAAACATCCATTCATTTTTGTTTATTTTCAGCAAAAAGTCCGTTAGGGATTTCCAGTCTTTTGTTAAAAAAAACAACAACGGGGATTGTTTCTTCCCTAATTAGATGTGGAAATTCGGCTGTGTTCACAGCCCCAGAATCTAAAAAAAGTGATACTGCAGTTGTAAACTCAAATATCTGAGCGTTGAAGCAACAATGTAGGAATTCATTCACATTAATTCAAAATTGGATTGCTGTCCAGGTCCAGCTCACTTACTTAATCTGATCCTATCTACTTTTTGGGGAGAGGGGGGGAGAAGATCCTGATGTTGGGAAAGATGGAAGGCAAAAGCAGAAGGGAACAGCAGAGGAGGAGATGGCTAGAGAGCATTATCGAGGCAATGAACATGAATTTGGGCCAACTTTGGGAGATGATGGAGGACAGGGATGTGTGCTGTGGTCCATGGGGCTGCGAAGAGTCGGACAGATCCTAGTGAGTGAACAATAACATCATTGTGTCCCCCAATGAACCATCTATTCCAAGTGGTCCCCAATTGCTATGAATCTCTGTTTCGGTACTAATAAAGTGATTATTACAAGGCCTGTGGTTAGAATGGACCACCATGGATAGGTGGCTACGGATTGGCTGGGGAGAAGAGTGAAAAACAGGACTGACGCAAATCTCAAAATAGAATTCCCTGGACTTAAATTATTTTGTTTCAGTGAACAAGTTAAAGAAACAATGATAAGATGGTCGAAAAACATTGGCTATAATATAGAACTAGAAAAGTGGCAAAAGCTATGGGAGAGAAATTACAAATTAACAATGTCAACTTCATATAAAGAAAACTTGTATAAAATGTTTCATAGATGGCACTTGCCACCAGCGAGATTAGCAAACATGTTTAAAAATATGTCAGATAGATGCTGGAAATGTAAACACAACGCAGGCATGTACTATCACATTTGGTGGGCATGTGGCACAGCTAAGGCTTATTGGAAAAAGATACATACGTGGTTAGAAAAAATATTAGGTGAACATGTTGATTTTAAACCTGACCTTTTTTTTACTAGGTATAATGCCTGAAAAGATTAATAAGCAGAGTTTATATTTAATTTTACACATCACTACATCAGCGAGAATAATCTTTGTGCAATACTGGAAGAATGAAGGATTGCCATCAGAAGAAGAAATAATCAGAAAAATATTGGAATGTGCAGAGATGGACAGATTAACTATGAGACTGAAAGATAAAGAAGACACAGACTACTACCAAACTTGGGACTTATTTTATTGTTGGTTAGAGGAAAGAATGAAGGATTAGGAATTGAATTATTAGCATAGCTAACCCCAGACAGCTCGTTGATTGGAAAAATTAACATATGTATGCAAAAGAAAACCAATAAATTGATTTCAGTCAAAAATCAATACCAACTTCAGAAGTGAAGAGAGAAAAGATGCTGTAAAATAGATAAGAAGTATAGTATTTTTATAACACATGAAATATGAAAATATTGGGATGGTGTGCTGAAATGGAAAAATTTGGACATGTAGATGACTAGCATTGAGAAAATCATGATTGATAAGAATGGATTGAATATAAAGGGAAAATTAAGCTTAAACAAAAATCACGAAAATAGGATGCATGGTGAACTAATGAGATTATTTTTATAAGAATAAGCTGATTAAAAAAGGCTATATATACAGTAGATGCTATCATTATCGGTACAAATATGAAAAAATGTATATTTAATAATTTATACATTGAACATATTGAGAAGTATATTTGTTTAAGGTTGAAGAAGGAGAATACAATTGGGAGAAGGGAAGATCAAAGAAATATAGTATTAATGTACTAATGATGGAATTATCAAAATCAATCATGGACTGTTAATTAATTATTATTGCTTTTTTTTCCAAATATATAAACCAAGACAACGCGCTGCACACCAGGCACTGGAGATTGTTATTGTAAAAAACCAATAAAATATTTTTTTTTTAAAAAGCAAAGCAAAGAAAAGGGGTTTCTGTCTGCTTTTCTTAAATGTTCTTCAACCTGTTGACATTTTAGGTAAGGAAACTGAAATCTCACGAAAGTTCAGCCTTTAGAAAAGAATTTTAAAAATATTATTTTGGGGATTCTGGGCATCCTTCAGATGTAATTACTGCGAGGGTGACTGACCAAGGTCCCTTCCAACTTTATTTTTTTATCATCATCATCATCATCATCATCATCATCATCATCATCATCATGGATCATCGCACAGTCAGCCAGATGTACATACTGGATTTGGCATTTTGTCTACCTATCGAGTCCTTACCCAGGACCTGGGATAGGCAGATGTGGATGTTTGATGGTATTACAGATCTCGTCGCAGGATGGAAGCAGTTCCTAGTAAGGCCGCCTTTTGCAATTGACTAATAGCGAATTTGTCAATACTGATGATGGTGTTCAAGTGGTGCTCCAGTTGTTTTGGGATTGCACCCAAGGAGCCTATCACCATTGGTACTCCCCTTGCTTGCTTTTGCCACAGTCTTTCTATTTCTATTTGTAGGTCTTTGTATTTTGTTATCTTCTCCAGTTCTTTCTCGTGTATTCTGCTGTCTCCAGGCACTGCCACGTCCACTATCCGGACTTTTTTGTATTATTATTATTATTATTATTATTATTATTATTATTATTATTATTATTATTATTATTATTATTGGGAATTGCAGACCCAGACACTGACAGGGCAAGCCACTAGTATATTAAAACAAGAGCAGACCCTGCTCCCTTCTAGTGCTGACATTGTTACTTAGTTTGGTAATGAAAATTCTGCAAGAAAATCACCAAGCTCAGATATCACCAAGGACTCCACAGTTGTTGTCCTCTTCCTCCTCCTCTTCTTCCCCTTTTCCTCCACCTCCTCCTCCTCCTCCTCCTCCTCCTCCTCCATTTTGCAGACCCCACTCCCTTCTAGCACTGATGTCACTACCTAGCTGAGTAATGAAATGTCTGCAAGAAAAGCACCAAGCTCAGAGAGCACCAAGGACCCCATAGCCTTTCAGTGTGAAGTCGTCTCCAACCAGATTACCACCAGCAGGGTTTAGCATGTCCAAAATGGTCAGCTGTCATGAGTCTCCATTTTTTCAGCACATGGCTCCTTCTCCTTCCTACTATACGACAGCCTTACTGCTCTTTTATCCATGGTGATAGCAGCTGTTATCTTTTCTGCCTTTCTGGATGGTGTCTGGCCCAGTAGAAAAGCTGGAACTATAAGATAGTTGCATATCTGGTTTTCCAAGCGACTTCCCCGCCCATCCAGTCTTCCAAGATGTCAGAATGAAAAAGAGGAGTAGAACCTCTTTCCAAGATACCAGAAGTGTCACCCTAATTTTTGCATTACTTTGGGAAGGAGAGGTCCAACTTTTTAAAAGAAAAACACTTACAAAATAGCCTTTTAGTTATCATGGCGCTTCTCAGGCATACAAAATTCCAGATATATATATTTTGTTTTGAACTGCTGATGTTTCAAAGCCAATTTATTCCTGGAATGTTGGAATGCAGCAAATGCTTTCCTGTCTCTTATTTTTATGGCAGGGAGGAGTTATCTAGAAGCCTAAGGATGTTTTTTTCGGAAATGCAATTTACCGGAGTCTCCTTCTAGCGAAAGAATATAAAATACATTTCTCTTAGATATCCTAAACTTTAAACAAGCTGCTATGATAACTTAAAACCGTTGGGATGAAAAATGTGGGTGTATTGTGGAGGGCAGAGGGATCCTGTTCACGGTTAAAATTGTAGCTCAAACATTGTTAACATGGATGGAGGGGAGATCAACCTGTCTGATCTGCAACTAGGTTTGGTCACCACAATATAAAAAACATGTTGAGACTCCAGAAAGAGTACAGAGAAGAGCAACAAAGATGATTAGGGGACTGGAGGCTAAAACATATGAGGAACAGTTGCAGAAATTGGGTATATCTAGTTTAATGAAAAGAAGGACTAGGGGCGACATGATAGCAGTGTTTCAGTATCTGAGGGGATGCCACAAAGGTGAGGGGGGCAAACTATTCTCCAAAGCACCTGAAGGCAGGACAAGAAACAGTGGATGGAAACTAATCAAGGAGGGAAGCAACCTAGAACTAAGGAGAAATTTCCCAACGGTGAGAACAATCAGCAATCAGAAGGTGTGGAGACGTCCAAGAAGAGACTTGACAGCCATTTGTCTGAAATGGTACTATAGACTCTCCTGCTTGAGCAGGGGGTTGGACTAGATGACCTCTAAGATTCCCTCCAACTCTGTTATTCTATATCTCATTGGATATTGGCAAGATGCCATCTAGTGACATCGTTCTCATCTTATTTTTGTTCATTTCTGGAATGGAAGGATTTAAAAAATGTTTTCATGGCTGTGGGATCAAGGAAGCTTGCAGCCTTGATTTTCCTTCCTGCTGAAAACCCTGACATGACTCTTCTGAAAAAAACTGATTTGGGATTTTGAGGGCGAATAGGAGCCATTGGCCTCCCGGTGCCCCCCTTAAACCTAGAGAAAGGAAACTACTAAATGCAGTCATGGCACAGAGTGCCAAGAGTTATCATTGGCACTGCAAAAATTGGTAATGGAAAAAGCGACAGCTTTTATTTAGCCCATGTGGATCCATATCTTGGATCAGATGGAGCAGAGGCAGGTGATGGTCCCACGCTGTGATTGGCACTGGAGAATTCTGCCAACATCTAGGTATGTTTCCATCTTCAGGGAAAAAATATGGGAAAGTAAGAATTTCACAATTTTAAAAAAAATTCTGATTAGGTTGTGGTGCAAAGCCAATCAACATATGTGAATCCAACCATTTGTGAGTTACTCATACTGGAACCAGACAAACAGCAACTTGCCATGATGTGGGAACCCAATCTGTGACTGCAATGGATACAACCGATGGAAGCAACGGAGGGAAACTAACCAAAGAGAGAAGCAACCTAGAACTAAGGAGACATTTCCTGACTGTTAGAACAATTAATCAGTGGAACAACCTGCCTCCAGAAGTTGTGAATGCTGGAAGTTTTTAAGAAGAGACTGGACAGCCCTTTGTCTGAAATGGTATAGGGTTTGCTGCCTGAGCAAGGGGTTGGACTAGATGACCTCCAAGATCCCTTCCAACTATATCATCATTATTATTATTATTATTATTATTATTATTATTATTATTATTATTATTGATCATTGCATAGTCAGCCAGATGTTCAGACTGGATTTGACATTTTTGTCTACCTATCAAGTCCTTCCCAAGGACTTGGGAAAGGCAGATATGGATGTTCAACAGTATTACAGATATCGTCAGTTCCTAGTAAGGTCGCTTTTTGCAATTGACTAATGGCGAACTTGTCAATGCCAATGGTGTTCAAGTGGTGCTCCAGTTGTTTTGGGATTGCATTATTATTGTTGTTGTTGTTATTATTATTATTATTAGGCAGAGTGACCTTACCAGAGCCCTCTGCCTTGAGATTAACCATCTGCCCTTGTTACGAGTAAATTCTACAAAGCCCAGCAGATCCCATACCCACTTACTAAGGCACAGTCCACGTCCTGGTTAAGGCAGAATGTTCTCTGATGGTGGAAAGATTTCGTAGGTCCAGCGGAGGCGGTCGGACTAAGGGTTAAAGAGAAAACATCAGATTCATCAGAAAAAGCGAAGAACTTCAACTGTAAACCTCTCAATATGATTCACTGGTTGCAGGTATTCCTTGACTTAACCACTGTTCACCTAACGACGGTTTGAAGTTACGAAGGCCTTGAAAAACATGCCTTAGGACATACTCGTCATTGCGCACCGTGTGGTCACGTGACTGCAATCCGGGCACTGGCTTGTATCTAGGATCGGTTGCAGCATCCTGAGGTCATGTGCTCATTGGGCAAGCTGGATTTGCTTAACAAGCACATGTTTTGCTTATCGCACACGGTGATTCGCTTTACAACCGTTATAAAAATGGCTCTAAAACGGGCAGGTTGAGTTACCTCGTCGCTCAACTTAAAATTGCACTGACAAAAATTCTGGTCTTAACTGTGGTGGTAAATTAAGATTACCTATATTGACAAGAAAGAAGCAATATTTGACCCTGTGGGATTTCAACCTGGAGCTCAGCCTAGAATTCAGACCAGAGGTCTTCAAAGTTGGCCCTTTTATGACTTGTGGACTTCAACTCCCAGAATTCCTTGGCCAGGGTGCCTAGCTGAGGAATTCTGGAGTTGAAGTCCACAAGTCATAAAAGGGCCAACTTTGAAAACTCCTGGACTATAACTTCCATGGGGATTTGATATGCAAGTTATATCTAGGACATACAGCTTACTTCTGCTCTCTACACCAAGGCCAGTCAATGAGTTTGGTTTTTCCTGAGCTGCAGCACCACCTTTATAAAGAGAGAAGGTACTACAGTCCATCATTTGGGCAAGTCAAGTGACTTAAGGCACCAACATGGCCCAAAATGATCAAGTTGCTCCAGAGTTTTGTAGCTGCTATGGAGAAGATGGTCTATGTGTGATGCCCATTGGCAGGGGTAGGCAACCTTGGCTCTTTTATGTCTCGTGGACTTCAACGCCCAGAATTCCTGAGCCAGCCATGCTGAGGGGAAAGGGAGAGGTTCCAAACTGAGCCATGCTGGCTCAGGAATTCTGGGAATTGAAGTCCATGCATGCTGGCTGAGGGATTCTGGGAACTGAAGTCCACACATCTTCAAGCTGCCAAGATTGAGAAACAGTGGCCTAGGCCCTAGACCAGGGATAGGCAACCTTGGCTCTTTTATGACGTGTGGACTTCAACTCCCAGAATTCCTGAACTAGCCATGCTGAAGGGAAAGGGAGAGGTTTCTAAGCTGAGCCATGGTGGCTCAGGAATTCTGGGAATTGAAGTCCACGAGTCATAAAAGAGCCAAGGTTGCCTACCCGTCCATGTGGAATGAATTCTCAGTTAAGTGCTGCAAATTTGGAATGTCTTTATAACAAGGTGAGTAAATGCCTTTAACTGTGGCTATGAATTGTGGTGGGGGGCAGGAAGATGTATCTTCAGCTTTCAGACACGGAGACTCAGAATCACACCCTTGAGCTCTTTCATCAATATTGTTCGTTCTGTACTGACGATTCAAAGAAAAGGGATGCAGCTACTTTAATGATCCTACCTTTAAAGTTTGTAGGAGCTTTCACGTGCTTGACTAAACTTTCCCATTATGAATGAAGAGACCCCCCCCACCTCCTTGTCCATTCATCAAAAAGGCTGTTAGAAAAAGAAAGTCCCTTCCTAAAAAAAAAAAAACCAAAGAGATCATTGGTTCTCAAGGGCAAAGAATTCCGATGTTGGAATTCTTACCATCCTCATCCTTTCGTCACTTTAACAAATCTTGTTTAAAGGCAACTCTGTGTAGGGAGTGCGGTTGGGGAAGAAGAACTTCAAGCTTGAGGCCACTCCAAAGAACTTGTAAAGTTTCTTCTTGAAGAATGAAGTTTAATGACAAACTGATCTGAAAACCAGTTTGGCAGGTTTCCTGGAGGTTTTTGCCGGACTCTGGGATTTTTAGATTTGTGATGAACTGAATGGCAGAATGGCTTTTTTCAGCAGGTGGCGATAAACCGATCTGTCTTTATCACTCTCCCAAGAAAAAAAAAAAAAAAGGGTTTTGTCCTGATCGTTTCCTTGCACAAAGCTGCAGTGTGATTTTCTCGATATGGGATCTAGCCGCCAACTAATCTGTGACTATCCTTGCCTGTGTGATCTAGACCAGGAGTCCCCAACCCCGGGGCCGTGGACCAGTACCGGGCCACGGCATGCCAGCAACCGTTCCACACAAACCAGCAAAGCCCCATCCGTGAGATGCAGGCAACACACAAAACCACGCAGTCCGCGGAAAAACCTCTCTCCACGGAACCGGTCCCTGGTGCCCCAAAGGTTGGGGACCTCTGATCTAGACAAGCCCCAAATGTGCCACCATCCACGTCATCTGACTTTGGGACTGCCTGATCTCATTATCCTGAAATCTATCCTCTGGTTTCCTGAAAGTTTCCTTGCCTTGTTTCTGTTTTTCTACCTTTTCCCCAAGCATTTAGTATTTCTTTTCAGTTTCTTCTCCTGATACCTTCTCTTGGTGTTTACGGGTAATTCTCACTTAAAAACCTGCTGTTTAGCGACTGTTCAAAGTTACAAAGGAGTTTTCAAGACTTACTTATTATGGCCCATTTTTTTGAAGTCCCAATGGCTGCAGGCACAGATACTCACTGCCACAGGATTGCATTTGGGGTGCTCAGCAACCGGCTCACGTTTATGGCCGTTTGCAGCATCCTATAATTCTGGGACCACAATTTTCGGCATGCATTCTAGCACTTATGTCTGGTTTCTGGCAAAAAATAAATTTAAAAAAAAATACCCCTCTGGGGAAAACAGGTTTGTTTAATGCTCATAGTGTTCGTTTAACGCAGTGGTTCTCAACCTGTGGGTCGGGACCCCATTTGGGGTCGAACGACCATTTCACGGGGGTCGCCAAACAACGCAGTCCGCCATTTTTTCCCCTTTTCCTTAGCTGTGCTACTCCCTTTTATTCTTTTGGCTTTTGAAAGCCAATAGAATAGACTCTCTTGAATAGAGTCTAATTCTATTGGCTTTCAAAAGCCAATAGGAATGGTCCAGGCTGTCTCTGCCCTGCTGAGCCCGCCAAAAGTCCCATTCTGCAAACGGTGCTGCACCAGTTGAGTAGTCCTCGACTTACGACCGGTTGAATAGTCCTCGACTTACGATCAGTTGGGGGGTCGCGGCATTAAAAAGGTTGAGAACCACTGGTTTAACGAACATGGAATTCATTTAACGACCACTGTAAAAAAGGTTATAAAATTAGGCATAGGGGCATGGTGACCTGTTTCATGACTCTCATGACTTATGACCATAATTCCGGGCTCAATTGTGGTCATAAATCAAGGACTACCTATAGCTGAAGAATGGGGAAACCAGGAAAGCTGCTAGAAAGATGATTTCTCAGTGGAAGAGGAGACCCTCATAGGCACTTTAGGAAATTAAAATCAGGATTCATCAGTGCTAATCCCAAATCTGGTCTCTTATCCTAGACCTGACATCTCTCAGGTCTTTTGGCTTAATATTTCTGATGTCCACTTTCTCTCCAGCCCTGCTAGGGGGGTCATTAGGAAATATGGGGGGGGGGGAGGAGAAGAGCTTACATTTTGTCCGAGGTTTAAGATCCCGGTTGACCGGAGGGGGTTCCAGGTCGGTGGGGAGTTCAGGCAAGGGGCTGGTGAGCTTTTCTGCGCTAACTTCAGCGAGAGCAAAAGTAGCCGGTCCTGGGTTCATGGGAATGTAGCCATCAGGTGTGCAGTCAGTTCCGGGGACAGGGGGGGAGGCGCGTGGATGCATGGGAACGTAGCTGTCTTCGGAGTTGCTTGACGAGCAGGAATAGAGAGGGCTCACTCGGCAAGGCTTCACAAAACAAGAAAGGAAGAGGCATAGTGAGCATGATCAGCAAGCCACCTCCAGATCAGAAGTTAAAAACAGAATAACAGCACTGGAAGGGACCTTGGAGGTCTTCTAGTCCAACCCCCTGCTCAGGCAGAAAACCCTATGCTATGCCTCCAGAAGCGGTGAATGCTCCAACACTGGAGGTTTTTAAGAAGAGACTGGGCAGTCATTTGTCCGAAATGGTGTAGGGTTTCCTGCCTGAGCAGGGGGTTGGACTAGATGACCTCTAAGCTCCCTTCCGACTTTATTATTATTATTGTTGTTGTTGTTGGTGGTGGTGGTGGTGTTTTTTTTTTTACAAATTTTATTTATAATACAGTTAAAAACAAACAAACATTAGATTTAACGTGACATTCCAGTATATACATTCTTACCAGATTATTCCACTTTTTACAATCAATTCTTCATCTCTACATATACATCTAAGTTTTATATACAATACTTGTTCTAAAATAACATATATTTCTATCTTAACATTCATCTTTAATCCCGACCATCCTCTTCGAATTCCTCCAGCGGTAAAATTTATCCCAGGTTTCATAATAAACTGATCCACATTTTTCTTTCAATATCATTGTGAGCCTGTCCATTTCCGCACATGCTAATATTTTACGTATTAACTCTTCCTCTGTGGGAATTTCCTCGCTCTTCCATTTTCGCGCTAAAGCGAGCCTAGCTGCAGTCAGGATGTGTAGCAGCAGGTAGATTGTTCCCTTGTCGTATTTTTCTGTCGTTATTCCCAGTTGTTGTTGTTATTGTTGTTATTATTATTGTTGTTATTATTACTTCCAAATTCCCTTCCAGCTTTATTCTGACTGATTGATCTATTTTCACAAGGTGGTATTGCCAGAGCATGTTGCTAATTTCCTCAAGATTCACAGGAGGGAATTGAAAAAAAGTTAGGGTTGACTGAAAACCTTTCAGATAACATTACAAGATGTTTCCCTGTCATCTCAGAGATTCTGGTCATCTGGACCCCAGTTTGGAGAAAAGGCAAGAAATTTACATCAGTTTCTTCTCCCAGCTCATCTGTTAACCCACCAGCTAAGAAGGGCAAAAAGGCTCAGGGTTGGTCCATACAGATACTAAATTAAAATATGGTTTGTCTACTTGTGTCATAGAATGGCCTGCAAACCTGACAGGGTCACCTGTGAACTTGCAATTTATACAGTAAACCATAAATAAGGAAACCATCATTTGGGGTGTTGCAAGGATGTATTTAATTGTGTTTACTTGTCTATGGAAATTCTCAATCTTCCAGGTCACTGTTGTCCCAAAGGTGCTTTTTTCCAAACAGGAACTGGACTTTCTTGAAGTGAAGAAGCTTCTTGGATGAGAAGTGCAATGTTTTCAAACAAAAAACAAAACAAAACAAGAAAGTCCAATTCCTTCTTGGAAAAAAAAACAACATTTTTGGGATAACTGTGGTTATAATTTGTATCAGGAGCTGTTTCTTTCCTCTTTTACACTGACCTGCCAACTGGTGTGGATTTTTTACAACCTCCCCTGCCAAAGCCACTGTGTAAAGTGTGTGCACTTTACACACTGTGTAAAGTGTGTGAGAAAAAAGCTCTTACCAAGTTCAAGCTCAACCTCTTATCCCTGCGCCGTAAAGAATTTTCTTCCATGTCGGCTGCAGAACAAAACAAAGAGCAGAAGCCAGTTCATCATGATGGAAGAAACTAAATTGCTGAATTTGCTAAATTAAAACAACAACAACAATATTTTCTGAAGAAAGAAAGAAAGAAAGAAAGAGATCTCATTCTAAGCAGTGGTGCAACATGCAATTTGGAAGAAATTCGAATTCTATCCAATTAACCAAAATCCATTCTAATTTGAAGCCCTATTAAGTGCAATTACTCCATAATTATTATAGAACTGTAGCATGAACTTACCCCAGAATAAGAATACACTTCTTGAATATGCTTCTCAGATCAGGTACATTTTTTCCTATGGATCCAGATGCTACTGAAGGATAGAATTAGCAGTAGCAAGCAAAACTATATCAAATAAGAATAGAATAGAATAGAATAAGAATAAGAATAGAATAGATACTGGAATGGAATGGAATAGAATGGAATAGAATAGAATAGAATAGAATAGAATAGAATAGAATAGAATAGAATAGAATAGAATAGAATAGAATAGAATAGAATAGAATAAACAGAATAGAATATGGAATGGAATAGAATGGAATGGAATAGAAAAGAATATGGAATGGAATGGAATGGAATGGAATGGAATGGAATGGAATGGAATGGAATAGAATAGAATAGAATAGAATAGAATAGAATAGAATAGAACAGAACAGAATAGAATAGAATAGAACAGAACAGAATACTGTTGTAAGTCGAAGGGACCACCTGCATGGGATAAGGATGGAGAAAATATTCTGCGACTGAAGTTGAGCTGGAGTGGAGTTTACTGCGAAAGAAAATGTTGGGACCCATCCTGAAAAATTCATCAGTGTATGTGTGAACGTGTTTGTTTTTATGCTTCAACCAGCACACACCCTTTTAGTAAGCTTTTTTCCAACACAACTGGAGGGTCATGAGTAAGAAGAATAACATTTCCAAGGATGGGTGTTGCTCTCAAAAGCTTCCAAGAATTGCTCAGGACACTGATAAGCAAGCTGGTGCTTTGCTATACAAGGGTTAGAAAAATGATCCAAATGCCCATGCAAAGACCAGCATCTGTTCAAGGAAGGACAGGAGGGGAAAAGGGAAGAAAAGAAAGAAAATAGAAAATAGATGCAAAGTCCCTACAGACCTCTTGAAAGCCAGGCACTGTCTCACTTATTTCCTCAATGGCAGATTTCCTAATACAGGGGTGGATCTCCTCCGTGACTGATAATTGATGACCTTGTTGGCTGTACTGTTCTGGGATGGAATTTCACAGACGCTGAGGACAGATTGATGTTACGGCTGTCTGTACTTCAAGATTAGCATGCAGCCATCAGGACTAATGGCCATTCCTTGCCTGCTCCGGTGTTAAATTGGCAGAGTTGCTGGGACACTTCGCATCGCGAGTTAACTCCTATGTTTCAGGCAACGTTGTTTGAACCTGGGGTGGAATCTCTCTCCGGGCTGGAGGGAGGCCTTAAGAAGGGGCTGAGCTTGAAGTCCTTGCACTGCAGAAAGCAGCACCCCAGAATCCTCTCCCAGAATCCCCGAAGCCTTATCTGACCGATCCCAAGGGAAAGATTCTTGTTAACACTGGCGACTGGCACTAAAGCTTCTGTTTGAGATCATTCGTGAGTGGTTCTGTCTGCGTGAACCTGTTGGCTTGCACAGAGCTGAAGAAGCTTCTGGGATGAGAAGCGAAACGTCTTCAAAGAAAAACAAAGAAAGTCCAGTTGCCTCTTGGAAAAGCCCCTTTGGGGACCTGAAGGAACCCAACCTATGTGATTAGTTTGTTGACCATAAAGCATTCCTCTGGTCTCCCAATCAGCCTACCAAAATTGGAGTCCACAGAGGATGAACGTGAGGAGAATATTGCTGTTTGTATGTTGGGGGGACCTTAAAAAAGACGGACCTTAAAGAAGCAAGACAGGAAGAACATCAACTCATTTGAGCTGTGGTGCTGGAGAAGGCTCCTCTGCATTCCTTGGACACTAAGGTGACCAAGAAGCAAGTACTGGAATGCATAACACCAGACATGTCACTGGAAGAAAAAAATCTCAAAACTGTGACTGACTTATTTTGGCCAAATCATTGGAGAAAGCAATGATGCTTCGAAGTGTTAGCAGTAAAAGGAAACCAGGCCATCAAAGAACACGGTGGCTGGACACCATCCAAGGTGTCACCAGCCAGAGGATAGACCAGTGGTTCTCAGCCTGTGGGTCGGGACCCCATTTGGGGTCAAACGACCATTTCACGGGGGTCGCCAAACAACGCAGTCCGCCATTTTTCCCCCCTTTTCCTTAGCTGTGCTACTCCCTTTTATTCTATTGGCTTTTGAAAGCCAATAGAATAAACCCTCTTGAATAGAGTCTAATTCTATTGGCTTTCAAAAGCCAATAGGAATTGTCCAGGCAGTCTCTGCCCTGCTGAGCCCACCAAAAGTCCCAGTCTGCAAACGGTGCTGCACCAGTTGAGTAGTCCTCGACTTACGACCGGTTGAGTAGTCCTCGACTTACAACCGGTTGGGGGCTGCGGCATTAAAAAGGTTGAGAACCACTGGCATAGACCAATTCAAAAAAATAGTGTAAGATCAGTAGTTGTGGAGAGACCTGGCCCGTCCAATCGCCAAGAGTCGGACACAACTGAATGCAGAGTAACAGAAGAACAGAACAACAGAGCTGGAAGGGACCTTTGGAGGTCTTCTAGTCCAACCCCCTGCTCAGGCAGGAAGCCCTGTGCCATTTCAGACAAATCTCATCACCGTGTTGCGGGAAAGAGAAGACACGTATTTTAAAAACCCACCTCTGGGATCTACAAATTGGCCCTTACCTCTACAACCTTTCATGCTGTCCAATCCCGAGAGGGAGATCCTCCTTGGAACCAAGATCCCCGGAGAGCTGGAGATCCTGGCGCGTCCGTTCTGAAGGACCCCACCCGCCGGGTCTTCAGCTCTTCGGTCTGGCAAGTGGGGTGGCTTTGGTGGCCTGGGAGGGGGACTCTTAGCCCAAATCTCAAGTTCGGTAAAGCCACCGGGAAGAGTATTCTGGCTTTTTTCTGCTAGGATGGTTGGGGTTGCAGGAGGCCCTGACAGAGGCGAGGAAGAAGAGAAGTCACTAGAAGGAGGCCCACTGGAGTCTGCGTTCCTCGGAAGGATGCCATGAATCGTTGGCTGGACCATCTCTTGAAGCAGCCCACCAGAAAGCTGTAAGCACAGGGAGGACTGAGAAGCCACAAAGTCAAAGAAGACATCATCCGATAGCGTCCTCTCCAGAGAGCGGTCAGAATTGGACCAACTGTGGCACCTGGAAGAGAGCCAGGGGGGTTACCATCTCAGAGATCCCTGGAGCCCTTTTTCCGAAGCCCCCTCCCACCACAATGGCCCAAGGAAACGTTCAATTCCTGCATTGTCGATGTGAGAAAATTGCACAGAAAATAAAATAGATGTGCTGTTTCCATCCTACTTACCTGACAGGATGCCAAGGTTTTTCCTCAAACACGGGCAGTGCCAAATTTGTTGCTAAGTGAGACATTTGTTAACTGAGTTTTGCCCCACTTTATGACCTCCCTTGCCACAGTGGTTAAGTGAATCACTGCAGTTAAGTTAGCGACACGATGGTGGAGAGAATCTGGCTTCCCCCCTTGACTTGGCTTAGTCAGATGGTCACAAAACGGGATCACACGATCCCGGGAGAAGGCAACCATCATAAATAGGAGTCGATTGCCAAGCATCTGAATTTTGATCACACGATCATGGGAATGCTGCAAGGGTTGTGTGGAAAAAAACGGTCCTAAGACAGTTTTTTACAGTGCTGTTGTAACTTCGAACCGTCACTAAATGAACTGTTGTAAGTCGAGGACTATCTGCAATTAAATTACAGATGGGTGCTTTACATCAGGGGTCCTCAACCTTGGCAACTTTAAGACTTGTGGACTTCAACTCCCAGAATTCCTCAGCCAGCAAGCTGAGGAAGAAACTTGAAAACCCGGAGATAACAGGAGGGATTTGGGGATTGGAAAGCACGGATGCTCTGAAGGCGACGATGCTTGAGAAGTTCTGCCTTTTGTGACCCCTAATTTTACATTTCTGCCTTCATCTAGTTACTTCTTCAGCGCCACTCGTTTCTGTCCACTGGGATCCACATGGGTGTCAAATCAGGCAAAATGGTGGCTTGTCAGTATAATCTAAGCCAGGGGTGTCAAACTCAATTTCATTGAGGGCCGCATCAGCATTGTGGTTGCCCTCGGGGAGGGGGGTGGCGGTGTGTGGCCAGGGTGGGTGCAGCCTATTGGGTGGGCGTGGATGGAGTGGGTGTGCTCTACTGGGTGGGCATGGCCAGCTCTACATCGTTCGTGTCAAGGGTGCCTGTGGGGACCTGGGCAGGAGTGGGACAGATCCGAGGGTCTCTGGCAGAAGGGGGTGGGACTGGAGCAAGCGCCAAGGCATGGTGCATTTCTTCATTCCTCACAACGGGTGACACCTCCCCAGCATGCACCCAGGGGATGAGGCTGACACAGCAGGGGCTGGTTCCTCGCTGTTTCTGGACGGGTTTGTGGAGCTAAGACTGAATGCGTTTCAGCATAGATGGCCACCACAAAATTGTGCATTGGCTCCCGGCCAGCCTGAGCCAGGGCCAAGGCAGCGGGGGCCGTTCCCTCACTGTTTCCAGGATGGCTTCGTGGGCCACATGAAACCACGTCGCGGGCCACATCCGGGCCCCGGGCCTTGTGTTTGACATGTCTGATCTAAGCCAAGATTTCTCTATCTAAATAACGTTAAGATGTGTGGGCTTCATTTCCCAGAATTCCGCAGCCAGTATGTTGAAATCCACATTTCTTCAAGCATGCTGGCTGGGGAATTCTGGGAGTTGACCTTTACACTTCTTAAAAACGACCCAGTGAATCCATAGTCATTAAGCAAACCCAGTGTTTGTTACGGGGCGTTTTTGTCAAAAAACCAAAGTTACATTTTACTCAGGGACAGAGCGATTCACACGGTGCTTAAACGAACAAACCCCAGTGGCCGAGTTGATCAATTTTGCCAAGCCACCAATCATGGCTTAAGTCTCACAGAACTCATCAGTTCTACGCAAAACGCAGCCCAGAGTTCTTTCGTTAAGAGATGGGTGACAAATACATTTAACACATAAATAAGCAAAATAAATACATTGGGCGTTCAACAGCATACTGCTACCTAACGTGGCTGAGTTTTCCGGTCTCACAGTTGGACAAAAAGAGATAGTCAGGCAGAAAGACAGATTCCGACTCGCTGACCGTCTCCTCGGCTGCTGCAGCATCGGCGGTGGTGTGGTCAGCCGAAAGAGAAGAGCTTGCAGTCCTCATTGCGTGGGCAGAAATAGCCGGAGAAGGTTGTGGGGAAGATGTGGTGTGGGACAGACTGTCTCCTGAATCTGCAGCAAAGAAAACAAAAGCTGGCTTAGGAGGTATCCTCGGGAATTGTGTAGGATTTTTTCCCCTACTACAAGAAAGCCTCAAGGGTTTGCAGCGTACATTCTTTATTCGTTATTGCCTTCTGTCGATGTGTTGGAAGTAGCTGGAACAAACATGGAAAATGAGGTCAGGGTTTGGAAGACGGCCTATCCTTCCAGGCCAAACTGGGCTGAAACAATCAATGTGTTCCACAGTTGTTTTCTCTGTCACCCAAAGTTTTTTTGGGGGGAAAAAGGCATTAATCATTTTGGCTAACTTAAAAAGACAGCTTCTTAAAGACACACGTTTCAGTATTTTGACACCACCTGCTACTAACCCACAGGGGTTTGCTGGCTCTGAGAGCTTTGAAATTTGGGACTGAGGGCCAAAGTCTCCACAAGGCAGAGTTAAAACAAAATCAACAGGGAGCGAATGCAGTGTATTTATCTGTATTGTGTGTGCAACCTATGTACACCTCATCTTCACTTCACTGATTATCTCTTGCAGGCATTCCTGGCAGGGCACGGCAATGGCTTCTAGGATCACAAAGAGGTTGCCAAACCTTTCCACTACACCTGGGTTTCTCAGCCTTGGCAGTTTGAAGATGGTGGACTTCAATTCCCAGAATTCCCTGCCAAGCCAGCTGAAGTCCGCATGTCTTCAAAGCATGCTGACCAACTCAACTCTGGGAGTTGAAATTCACATTTCTTAAAGCAAGCTGGCTTGAGAATTCTGGGAGTTGAATTCCCCGTATCTTAAAGCATGCTGGCTGAGGAATTCTGCTCTAGGTGAAATTTTACCGATGGTGATATAAAAGTACGGTACCCCTGCCGATGAATTTATTCATAGTGCAACAGTAAATAAAGAGCCTTTTGGGGACAGCAGGTCTTCCAGTTTGGACTGGTGTAAAAGAATCTGATTTAAACCGGCAAAGCCAAAATACACAATTGCAGCAACCGTCTTGAAATACATACGGATCCGTTTGCCAAAGGAACAGATATTGTGTGCAGCACTTTGGAATATAGCATTTCAAGACTGTGTGTTTAAGTCTTGTTGGTAAACAGTTACAAACTGTACTTTTCTTTTGGCTTCTACAACTGGTGTCACTTAAAAACTCTTTCCACCAGTGGATATGCAGATGTACCAAAGGTGGTTAGGACATTGTCATTCTGACCCAGGCATATTAAATTTAAATCCAGGGACAGGAGGTGTACGGAAAGTCACCATGTTGACTTTTTTTGAGATCCCCACAATAAGTCAACAAAAACTACAGACCGACAGATGGTGGACCAAACCTTTAATGGTATGTACAACTCTGGGAAAGAGACACCTACACACACCTTGGCCACAGAAACATTATTCTCCAACACTCACATGTTCACACATTCGTCATAGGCAGCTTCTTCTTTACATTTTATGCAACAGTGAACTCTTCATTTCAGGCTATTCAGATCAAGAAATGTTGATGCCTTAAGACAGAGGTCCCCTAAGCCCCGGTCTGTGGACCAGCGCCAGTCAGTGTGTTGCCAGAAACTAGACCGCACAAATGAGAGAAGCCTCATCTGCGGGGTACATGCAGCACATGAAACCACACCCCCTACGGTCCAAGGAAAAACTTCTTTCCACGGAACCAGTCCCTGGTGTCCAAAAGGTTAGGGGCTGGTGCCTTAAGAAACACGCTACACCTTCCATATGCCATAGGATTGACAATGGTCCGTGTTTTTATAGAGACAAGGATCTACATTTACACACATATGATAGCTGGTGAGATTTAGCGTTTAAAACCCTGGACTAGGAGTGGGGAGAAAACAAAACATATGCCAAAACCTATGAAGAACAGTTGCAGGAATTTAGTGTGTCTAGTCTAGTGAAAAGAAGGACCAGGGGCGACATGATAGCAGCATCCCAATATCTCAGGGGTTGCCATTAAAAAGAGGGGGGGGGTCAACCTAGTCTCCAAAGCACCTAAAAGGCAGGAGAAGAAGCAAGGGAGGGAAACTAATCAAGGAGAGAAGCAATTGAGAACTAAGGAGAAATTTCCTAACAGTGAGATCAATTAATCAGCGGAACAACTTCCATCCAGAAGTTGTGGGTGCTCCAACACTGGAGGATTTTAAGAATAGACTGGACAACCACTTGCCTATAGGGCAGTGATGGCAAACCTTTTAGAGACTGAGTGCCCAAACTGCAACCCAAACCCCACTTATGTAGCGCCGGGTGGGCGTGGCCCATTGGATGGGTGTGGCCAATTTGGTGGGCATGGCCAATTCGGTGGGCATGGCTTCAGTGGTAACGGCAGACTGGGTGGGACTAAAAAGTCCAATCAATCAATTCCAACTTTGCGATAACTTTTTTTTCCACGAGAATTTGAAATTGATTGATTGAATGAACCATTTTTGGGGGGGCAAACGGCAGCGGAGGCCTAATCGAAAAGATTTTATAAAACCCAGATGAAGGCCTAGGACTGGGGTAACGGCGCGCGTGCCCACAGAGAGGGCTCTGAGTGCCGCCTCTGGCATGCGTGCCATAGGTTCGCCACCATGGGTATAGGGTCTCCTAAGTGAAAAAGGTTGGACTAGAAGACCTCCCAAGCTCCCTTCCAACTCCGTTATTCTGATTTTGATACTAAGCCTTATTCTAGACCTTGATTAGGTACAGAGGTCCTAACCATGTTTTCCTAACCATGTTTTTTTTAAAGAAAAGTGGCCGCAGAAAGAGCTTCCTCCCAACCCCCTCCACGAGGGTGAGAAGGTCCTGTTTCTCACAGCAGTGTTCAACTGACAATTGAAAGATAAATAGAGTCAAACGTTTGTTATGGAAAGCCACCAGGTGTTTACACTATGTAGAAATTCGACTTCCCTAATCTGTAAACACTATAGGAAAAGAGGCCAAGATGTTAACTAAAGCAACAGTTTCCAAGAAGCAGAGTGTTTATATTGGGGAAAGACATTACTGTTGAAAAATGGGCAGCCAAACACTTGCTCCAGGTGTTTCATGCACTCTTTCAAAAAAAAAATTTCAAAAATACAGAAGTGAATTAAGCCAAAACCCAGCAACCTTTTTTTTTTCAGAACCTGGAAGTCAATAGGTAAAGGTTTCTCTGTCCAGCCACATCCGATTGGACAAAGGAAACCATTACTTTTATCTATTGACACCCAGGGGGTGCTCGTCTCTGTTTCCGAGCTGAGGGAGCCAGTATTGTCCAAAGACATTTCCATGGTCACCTGGCCAACATGACTATATGCCAAAATGCACAGAACGCTGTCACATTCCCACTGAAGTAGTACCTATTGATCTACTCACATTTTGCATGCTTTTGAACTGCTAGATGGGCAGGAGCTCAGGCGAGGACGGGAACTCAACCTACCTCATGGCGCTCGGGGTCTCAAACCCGGGCTGCCAGCTTTCCAGCTGACAAGCTCAGTGTCTTTAACCGCTGAGCCACCGTGCCCTGGGAGTCAAAAGGTAGCACCAATTCCCTCATGTTGTCCCCAATCCCACGAGACTGCCAAAACTCATTACATGTCAGCATTCTCATTTCGGGAGGCTAGAAAGCCAGTAATTGTGTTGGTGAAGTCTATTCATGACAAGGTTTCCAACTGAAAAACTAATCCATCAGTTGTGACCAGCAGATGGCAATATTCATGTTTCCTAGCAAAAGGAACAGATGTCTTCTCCTGATAACATTTCCATGTGTTACTCTGGGAGATATTTTTCTAAACTTATCCATTTGCCTTTCCCGATCCGACGTTCCCACCTAGGGATGCTTATTCGGCTAAAACCATCCACTTCAGTGTTTCTCAACCTTGACAATTTTAAGGCATGTGGACTTCAACTCCCAACGCTGGCTGTGGAATTCTGGGAGTTGAAGTCCACATGCCTTAAAATTGTCAAGGTTGAGAAACACTGATCCAGTTGAAAAAAGGTTGCCTGGCCATTCAGGAAGCTGAATGGAGTTGATGGTCTTTCTTGCCCAAAGGACCAGATTGGACATCCATCCATTACATCTAGCAGATGTGACCTAATAGGTTTCGATTCTCCATCAAGGTGTCAATCTAATCTAAACCTTCTATGTTGCATTGTAGCCAAAGCCATCATTCCAGCTTCATGCACTTAGATTAAGCTCCAGAGTATTCTAGCTGCAGAGTCATTGGCCACTGATTACTGTTTTTCATATATGTGGAGTAAGCTGAGAGAGAGGGAAAAAAAAAAAACCCAGCCCATCAATTAAAATCTGTTTCATCTCTAGACTACTGTCTCCAGATGCTGGTTATCAAAGGACCCCGGGAGGTCATATGGATTTCACCCATCTGTCTTGGAGCGATCATTAATGGGGGAAAGCGTCTAATGGCCTTCTGCAGTACACGAAGAAAAGGCAGAGTGTCATTCAGATGAAACGGGCAGAGCTGGGATGCAACTCTCCAGAGACACACCACAGGCTTGAGCAAATGATCAGCCAGAATCTCTGGGAGAAGAAACAATAAGCAAGGCACTAAAGTAAATACTGACCTCCAAAGCTCCTTCTTTGCATAATTTATGGAGAGACACTCAGAATGCAAGCATTAATTCTGAGAACCTGTCAATAAGTAAGTGAGGAACAGCGGGCGCAGATCCGAACACGCTGGCAGAATGAGGCTTGAAACCAGCTCAGGGATCGGCGAGCGATGCTAGTTATCCACGGACTTGTTTTTTTTTTACAGAGAGTCCTCAACTTACGAGCTACAACTGCGAGCAGAATTCCTGCTGCTAAGTGGCTGTTAAATGTACCCGATTTTTCTGACCTTTTTTTTTTTGGGGCACGGTTGTTGCATGAATCCCCGCTGTTATTAACTGAATCATGTGGGCATTAAGTGAATCAGGCTTTCCCTGCTGACTGGGCTTGTTGGAAGCCAATTGGGAAGGATGCAAATGGCGATCATGTGACTCTGGGACATTGCAACCGTCGTAAATCTATGCCGGTTGCCAGGCACCTACATTTTGA